ACAATCTCCCAGTTTTTAGTCTGGTACCTTTAACCATTATATCAGCCTAGCTCTCTTAAGCTTCTTACGTCCCTCTTTTTCATGACCTGAACATCTCCATTCCAACATTACTTTCTTTTCCCTTCTTCTCAACTCATTTACTATTTATTCTTGCATTTGTTTTGCAATTTGATCTTCATTTATTCTCTCTCTATGATCAAACCATATGTCTTTCATATCACTCACTCACTTTTGTAATAATTCACTACCCATTTATTGCTGATCCCATCTCCTCTTGCTTTTCCACACAAACTTCTTATGTACCTCATTCTTGCTACATTCAACTTACTTTTATGTTTCTCCTGACATATCCAACTTTCACTTCCATGTAACATTTCAATATAACAAAATGGACAGAAGCATACTCTTATACACATTTACACTTTGTCTGATAAATATTCATTCCTCACAATAGGCTACATATTGTTCATACTTCTACCAAGATTTGCGTATCTTAACATTTCTCCATTTTCCTATTTTAGTGCGCATTCTACCAAACTACACAAAGGTATCTAGTTGTTCTAGTTTTTCACCATTCATGTATAATTTGTGATTGTTCATCGAATTTTCTCTGTCAAACATAGCTACTTTGATATTTGACACATTAATTTTCAGTTCCATACTCCTTACTGCATTATACAATCTAACACTTCTGTAAATAACTTGAATTCTCAGCCAACAACACAACATCATCGGCATAAAGCTGCACCTCACTCCTTTCATTCTGTCACCTCTCACACGCTTTCAAACAGAATTCTACCAAACACATTCCAAGTACATCAACTAATCATCTTGTAGCCTTTCTATTCACTCTTGCTGCCTTTCCATTTCTGTACTGGAACAATAATGGCATTCTTCTAACAGTCAAGCATAAATCTTCAAGTGCATATTAAACAAATTGCACAGCAACTCCACAAGAAAACTACATGTGTATTTTAACAACTCTTCAGGTACACTCTCTATACTTGCAGCTTTATAACTTTTCAACATTCTCTCAGCATTTATGACTTCCATTTCATCAATGTTTTTAGCAACTAACATGTACAGCATTTATTCCAGTTCCACTCTTCAATATATCAATATCATTTCCATATAAATATCTAAAATACACCTTCCAGCATACCCTTTCTTCAGTTTCATTTCAAATACAGTCGATCCTCATTATTCATGGATTCCATATTTGAGAATTTGCCTACGTGCTAAAATTTACTTGTAACTCAAAATCGCTTTTGTCATTTGCGGACATGTACAGAGTGGTAAAAAAATTGAGTCACCCGATGTGCACGTTCCCAGCTGAGATCAAACAAGGTGATGTTCTGCCTTCTTGTTTTAGCTCTCATATTGCAAACCAGTGCCCTGTATTTTCCCTAGGAGCAGTGGATCAGTATTTGCTAATTCGGTGTTCGCAATGACTTTATAGAACATAATTACAGCAAATAACAAGAATCAACTGTACTTTAAGTTCTATGTATTCTGCTGTTGGCTTCTTGTTTAGCTGTTTTCAACCATTTCCAAAACATATTTTTTACTTTCATCAAACTCATGGTGCATTTTCTTTGCCTCTTTTACTTTTAGCCATTCCTTGCTCTTTTTGACTACATTCTTTGCAATCATCTTTTTCTGTTTGTACACATTGTACAATATCTTTCTCTCAATCTCATTTTTTTCACAATCAAAATCAAGTTCGTATACGTATATCCAGGTCTCTTTCACTTTATCATTGCACCAAAAACGTTTTTCATAATTCTCATCAATGTAACTTTACACATTTCTGTGGTGCTTGGTAACATAGTTCTTTACACTCTGTTCCAAGCAGCTCCCTCATTCCTTAGTTCTGCATCTTGTTTTTCATCTTCTTTCTTTAGGTCCACATTCCATTCATTCTGTCGAGAAATCAATTCCTTTTTCATACACTGCAGTCACAGCCACTGAAATGAGAAAAAAAGCAGCTTCTACCAAGCTGAGGAATCTGGCTAGACAGGCAGACATCAGGCAGGGTTTAATTCTGGGTTTCTTTCTCCTGCCTTTATATCACAAAGGACTAGTAGTCATACTTTTCTCAGGCTTATCTATTAAGGCCACCTGAGTAATGTTTTCATAACTGACTTCTCTGCTCACAGTCTTTCCACTGCCCACCTTGCCAACTTCAACCCTACCAGCCAATTTTGGCCAATATGCCACAAAATATGCCATAAAAGCCTAGGCAGAATACACTATGCAAGCTAGTATATCTGATCTAAACACTATATTGCAAAACTACATGCCGTTTCCCTCATCTCTCCTGCTAGGAGCTAAATGCAGTATAATGAAGCATACTCAGGTTGCCCCATTCAAGTTATGCCTAAATTAATTTTCCTTAATTTACTTCAATTTCCTTTCACATAAACTGGACTTAAGTCCAGACTAACATGGCCTATTTAATCAAATAATTATCCATCTCCAGCCATAGCCTTCTATCAATCCAGATATAATAGAGTTTAATCATTATTTTTCTTGCTAGGTACTGTATAAAAATGCTTTGCCTCATTAAGGAAACTCTTTCCCTTAATCAAATAATTTAGCAAATGATTCTATTTTGCTCAAAATATACTAAACACTTTTCTTATTTAATGATGCAACTTGTATAATCTTTCAAATAATTGATTACCCCCTTTGGGGCAGCTGTTTTTTTCTCTCTGCCTTGCTTTTCCAAATCAGCTACTGCAGGCCATCTGAAGGACATACTCAGATGTCTAAATCTGAAGAGACAGCAAGAAGCCACATGTGTGTGTGTATGTGTGTGTGTGTAGGGGGGGAGAGAGAGAGAGAGAATATGATACTGTATAACAATGAGCAGTTCCTGTTATTCTACTTTAGTCATTTATTTCTGATGGAAGGTTCTCCTGCTGTCAGCTTGTGTGTGAATAATGTCTCATTTCACTTCCTACCATTAGGTGGCAGTGTGGTAATGGCTGGGCACAAGGACTTGGCTGCTATTTTGCAGGGCGTGCCTCTTAATGGAATCCAGCGCCAGGTCATGACTTACGCTGTCTCTGTTCTTCAGGTATCATCCAGATCTCTCCCCACCACACCATTACTGCTGAGGATCAACCGTTCCTCACCCCCAAGGGATCAGATGTGGAGCTGAAGCCAAGGTCTCGTGACTCCCACTGTTTCCTTTCTGTTGCCATCACCATTCTTCCAAATGGAACGTCACTGTTTCCTTCTGTGTTTAATATCTTTCAATGCCATTTTTCTATTCCTGTTACTTAAATAATAAAGATATTTGTAAGCAGGCTCCATTGTTTTCACCTCTTTCGTCTCTGTAGCGGTGGATTAATTCATAGAACATCATCAGTCAATTTCCATAAAAAATGAAATGTGTGGCTCCCGTTTAACATAACAAGTTGTCAAGAGTCAAACTGACTGTGGCAGGATACGAATGAAATACACACTTACATACCCACATACTATTGTCTTCAATATCTGAATGAGGTTAGATGGTTTTATTAGGATTACCAGATCTGGGCTGCAAAAATCCAGGCAATGACTGGTTGGCAGCAAAGAAACATGGTAAACTCTTCACCTGTGGATACTAACATTATTTTTCATGAAGAACAGTTTCATTGTTAAAGGAGATCACAAATGAATTGAACTTTTCCACCCTAGAAAAGGGTGGAACATCACTGTAGACTTGTAAGCTGGCGAAGTGGAGACTCAGTCCCCAGTTTCTTCCAGCCAGGCCACGCAACTAGCACCCTGGGACATCTTGTGTCTGCTTGCTGACAGACACCGTGGTGGGCATTGCTTCAAAGGTGGTGCTAGTCTTGTCCAGGGAAGACAGGCCAGGAGGAAGGAAGACATTGCCCAAGGGAAGGAAGGAGGAAGTGGCTGGGAGGAGCAGGGCCTGGTCTGGCTCCCTGATGGGCAAAGAATGGGAACAACAGGAAGCATGCAAGAGCTCTCTGCTAAGCAAGGAGAGAGAAGAGGAGAGAAGGAAAGAAAGTTCTCTCTTTTCATAAGGAGAAAGGAGAAAAAGAAAAGCACGATTTGGGCAGCTTTCAGTGGGATGTTTGCCTCAAATAAGTATTATATATCAACCCAGTCATAAATCCAATGTTGGTTTTCTAGTTAATGAAAAATGCTGTCAGCTAAGTGGCCAAAATATAATGTGAGTTTTGCAGCTCTTTCATAAGCAGCGGTTACTCAGTAAGGATTTCTTTCCTTAATACATTTATGTTATGTTCCTTAATGTGTTTATGTTTGATGGCATACCATAATACGCTTTTTTAAAAAAATCTTTGACTCACTAGAGAGTTTCCATGTACGACAAGGCTTCAGTGTTGCCGTGCTCAAACTAATGAACAATTTTTGTGTGACACTTGTGATGATTTGAGTTAGAGAACCCTGATACCATTCATACTGCTGTAAAGGTAACAATGCACAACACACCAACCCATATCAAGTTATCCTGATCCAGGATAACTACCAGCCAGTACTTTTGACCAGAAAAAAAAATGTTTATTAGTGAATTTAACAAACAGAAACAATACAATTAAAAAGCGTGTGTGAGAGTACAGACAGATACATAAAAATGTGAATGAAAACTTTTTGAAAAGGGGAAAAGAAGAAAGATCCATGTAAAATAGTTAAGTCCTCTGACATGCTTTTAAATCTAGATCATATAGAAACAGACTGCCCCATCTTCTCATTTCTACAATATAAAGATATTTCAAAACTTGACCAAAAAACATATCTCTTAGGTCCACTCTTTAGGATCTAGTGATTGCTTTCTTTCCACCTGCTTAGGACCAGTGGTATCCACAGGAACATATCACTTTCATCACAATGACAAAGGCAGCATTGCAATGTTGCAACACAAGATCCAACCCTTTGAGGCATTTGTGCAGTGTTGTGACACATACAGAACATGGGCAGAGCTTGTGCCATGACACTGCAACACTACTAACATGAATCTGACCTCCCTTGTCTCTCCTCCCCTCCCACTATTTGGATGATTCTGTCAGCTGATCCCCAAGATCAATAAAACAGGAGTTCTTCACCAAACTGGTCAAAACTGATGGTGTTGTCTTTATCCTTATCAAGGAATGGTACAGGTAGCATGGGTGTGACTATTACTGGTAACCTAGTCTATATCTTCTCTACCTTAGCGACAAAGATATTATCTGAAAGCCTAGACTGAAGCTTATTATCTTGAAGTCATGATGGATAGTGGAGGTCAATCTCTATTGGTCCATATGGTGACAACCATGGCATATGGAAGATTGTGCTTTGGAATCTAAGAGGAGTAAATATGGGTTTTACAATTATATATTTTTATTTTATTGTTTACCATCCAGAGTTTTCCAGGATTCGAGTGGCTTCTAAGCATGGTAAAATAAATAAATAAGTAAAAAGCATGAATTAAAAAATGGAATTAAATGAACTAAGAATAGTTTTTATGCTCTGTGTCTGTGAAATGAATAGAAAGGGGAAGGGAGAAACATAACTGAATCCATAGGTTGATGTAAGTTGCATGTTACTTTCCAGTGAATCGTGATAACAGCTGAAAAGATTAGTTTGGGGAAACACTATGCAACATTTTGAATGAACACAATCCATGGGAAAAATTATTCTTCTAGGGGACATGAATGGAAGAAGATGTGAGGACACAGAAAAAGTTATTGGACCACAGAGAGACCCAAAAATGAATGAGTATGATGATTAATGAGTATCTGCTTTAGAAAAAGATCTGCTTGTTTTGAATGTATAGTTTAAACATAAGTCTATTCATATGAACTCATGGCAAAATAATGAAAATAAATCTAAAAGTACAAATGAACGTATTGTTTTATGAAGAAAGGAGTTTATGGTGTTTATTGATTGACCGAATTAGTGAAGGACAACAGGTGATGAGAGGCGCTGAATATGGAACAGACCATTTCCAAGGCTTGGCAAAAATAGTCACATGGAAGAAAAGAAAAGCAAAAGAAACAAGAATGAAAGTGGAACTGCTGAAAGCAAAGATATGAATCCTGTATGAAAAGGAATACTTGGTGGAATTATTAAGTGAAAGATCCTGTGGATAAAGAGGAAATGCACATGAGAAAGATTGCTAGAAAGATATTATATTATATACAAGGAGGAAAAGATGGTTGCAAAAATGTAATTAAAGAGCCCAAGGAACTGTTAAGAGAGGCAGAGAAATTGCACAGCAATTTTGATAGCAACAAAACATGAAGGAGATTAAACAAGGAGCTTCCAGGAGAGTGAATGGAATTAAAAATTAAACTGATGAAATAATTTGGGATTCCAGAGAATGCTGGAAGAAGTGTTTTAGAAATGTGTATAGGAATGATAATTATATGTCAAACAGTGGAACAAATAATATAAATGTTAGTGTTTAACAAAATACCAATGAGAAGGAAGTTATTAATGCTGTGGTGTTGAATGAATGTTGATTAAATGCAAAAGCAAGGGACCAGTGCAGAAGGAGTACATGGAGGTGATTTGGTCATAGAAAGAAAACATACAAAGACTGAATAGCAAAACAAATATATATATAAAGGAAGAATGAATGGATTGGGAGGAAGGAGAAGATTGACAAAGTTGTGGCTGTATGGTGCTGATGAGACCCTTCAAAAGGAAGAGTGAGAAGTTCAAAGAACAAAAGGCACTTGTAAATCTCTATGGACTTGATGGAAACAAGGATTGCTTATTCCAAAAAAAATAGCCTAAAGGGTGTGTGTGTGTGTGTGTGTGTGTGTGTGTGTGTGTGTGATATCATTTATATATGTATCCCTGTGGCTGAGAACTGTTCCTTCAATTGCTGGTTTAAAAGAACACATTCCTACATGTTTTACTGGACTGACAGGCTTCATATCTGATGGATTTACACTCAGCTTGATGATTATAAGCAGCCGCACTTTCCATCTCTCTCACATCTTCTTATTTTGGTTTCATCTAGCTATTCAAGACTTTCTTTTCCTGGTATTATACCTTTTCTTTACTTTTGCCATTTATGTATTTTTAAAAAATGAACAATTACTTGCAGTTTTGTACAACTATTCCTTCCTTCCCTCTTTTCAAGCCTTTTTGTGGTTTAACAAAAATTACTCTAAGAGTGAAGTTTATACCTGGATAACTTTACGATGTAGGGATTTTCAGCTCCCAGAATTCCCCAGGATTCAGCTCCCAGAATTCCGCAGCCACATGTCTGTTGTTGAGAATTTGGGGAACTGAGTCTAGACAACTGAAAGTTTCAGGAAAGCCTACCTAGAAGAGCCCTTCTGTGTCTCTCGATGACTCACATGATATCAAATGACCCACCTAGCCTAATATCGTCTGGTAGAGTCATGACTGTATATTGTTTAATATGTGACAAATGGCTAGAAAGCAGTACTGTAATGAAATATTGTAGTTTCTCTCTCTACAAAATTAGAAAGATATCCAGAATAGAGAAGCTAACTCTTTTAGATGGAACATTTTGTGACAGAGAAGCTGGACAGTAATATCCTTTCCTCTACAGAATCAACGTTGCTTCCTTGAATGGCTGTTTTAATGCAAAGAATACTTCAAGGGCAAATGGTAATCCCATTAAAATTATTCCATAATTCTTTAAGGCCGCTCTCTGCTCTTTCAAGACCGCAGAATTTCACTGACAACTGGATCAGCACAGCCAGATCCCTTCTTCAAATGCAGCAATGTAACCCATACTATGATCCATGAGGAAATGCATTTCCACGCCCTGGGGGATTTGCTTGACTAAGGACTTAGAAAAGGCATGAATAGGAAAAATGGTGGGAAAGTCCCTTTAAACTGGGAGAATGGAAAATATCAGTGTTTAAAAGGGGAAATGATGGACTAAAAATATTTCAGACACATCGTTCTGTTTCTACAATGAGTACTGGCATGGAAGACAGATTATAATTTAACAGCGAATAGCTCCTGGAGAACTCTGATGCCATTGGAGAACATGCCATTAGAAGCAATAAAGGAGAAAGTAGGATAGCATTCTTATCAGTTGATAACTACTGCAAATACTATGCACATATATTTTTTTAAAAAATATATATATATAATAAACTTAAACTGGTGAAATACAGTTAAAAGTATTGTACATTCCCCACACTAGGAAATGTTCAACTCAGGAGATAAAGCAGAGTACCATGGAGTTATGGTTTCTTTGTTTTAAAAAGATTTTAAGAAGAAAACTGAGATACAGTTTTCATATTCTGGAATGTACTAGATCTGGAGGACCTGCAATTAAATTAACATGACTCAGTTTTTAAA